TGCTTATTGTTTGCCCATAACCTTGGTTTTTTACTCGAGTGCATATGTGGATTGCTTGCTTTGCTCATCACATGTCCAGCTTATGTTTGTCACACTATAAATACTTAGTCATGCTTCATCACATTGTGTTGACCCACTTTCCTTCTCTGTTTCTCACTTCACTTTTACGATTCACTTTACTGTCTGTCTGCTCACGCGAATGTATGAAATGTATGGATCCAGAAAATATCGCATTGGGCTTATAGTCCCCACCATCTAACAAACAGGATTCGTCTAAGAATGATAAACAGAAATTAGATAAAAGATTTATTTCATAATATTTCATTGTTTGTGAAAATTGAAGTCAGATCCTGAGCCCCGAAAAATATCATGAAAGTTCAGTTAGCATGCCTGTGTTTCATGAGATAATCTCAAATGATCCAGTTAGTCACCTACTATATTGGGGTTATTCAACGAATTACTTATAAATGAGTTGGCTACAACGTGCTTTTGACTGATAGTTTCCTTCAAAATCTCCAATGCTTGGAGGTATCCTATAGCTGGTTCCAACAATGTACAGTGAAGAACAGTAGCCTTTAATTTTACTTCACAACACTTGTTAAAATTATTCAATTTAGCTCTGAATTCAGTATTTACACTGTCGATACATTCTTTGAAGTTTCCAAGAGAAGCCCTGTGAATGACTAGTCCACCATTTAACCTCACGATTTCGCTTTTTAGTAAGTAAAGGTATTTTAGTATTACAGTCTCCTTGTTGCTTACGGAATGGTCTGGACTGTATCTTACTTGACAACATAAGTTCTCCATTTTTTTTTTTTTTATCTTTATTAAACGTAGTCTAGTCAACTCTAACTCTATTTGGGTGTTGGTGCTTGAGTAGATCCCTTTCAAATTGGTCATTGTTATGATTCTTTGGATAGTCCGGTGAAGACTCTTGTATTTAGTCAAAATTATGGTAATGATTGGATGCTGTTTCAGTAATAAATTCATTGGCATTGTATCATTTGATTTGCCTACAGATGAATTTCTCGAATAAGTGTATGTATTTCCATCCACAAAATCTGACTAGGGTTATGGCCAATGAAGATAATTATATATATCAAGGCAACAATTATAAACTGTTCCTGAAATGCAGCTTCATACAGCTAGTACAAAAACGAGAAAAATTACAAGGATACCACTAAGCAAGCACATATCGGACAGTAGCAATGACACAACAACATGAATCAATCACAAAAGTTTAGTCATATTTATATAACTGGCGCAATGTCATGACTGGTAGTTAAGCAAAACGTCAAAGTAGCAATCGATTTGGGATTGAATGAGTCTAATGTAGTAAGCGCTTTAATCATCTACTACTGGTTGATTCACGACTGGCAATCAAGCAAACAGTTTTGAAGGAATTATATTTTGACCCTACCTTATGAATGTTTAAAGTTCATTTATGTTATCATAGTTATCTTTCTTACTCAACACTAGAAAAAAACATCCTGAGATAAACCATAACATCAAAAGTAGAGAAAGAACTAGCAGCATTTATATAAAAGAACAGATAAATAAGGTCAAATATCTCCTCAAATAACATCACCTATTTCGTCAGAATTCGACCTGTTATTAGGGTTGTCTATAGATGAGGACTTAACACTGCTACTTGGGAAACATGTTATTGGATACACAGGCTCATCAATCCAAGAATTATGAGATCCCTTTTGATTTTTTGAGTTATCTGAAAAAAATTAATCGTCATAAGACACCTTTGCGATTTTAGTAGCCCTGTCATTTAAATTGATGAATTTATCATGGTATTCTAGCAATTGATCATCTTCAGTTTTGTTTATATGCACCAATATTATTTGATAAAAATCCACATACTTTCTTAATTTTTAAACGCTAGCACTTTTTTCAAGTTTAATTACCTGCTCCCAATATCTGACTTGTTCAGCTTTCTGGAATTGCCTGTTCTATAGTTTATGAATTCTTGCGGTGACTAAAAAATTTTTGTGAATAAATGAATTAAAATTTTGATAATCAGGAGTTATCGATTTCAGCATATGGACTAATATTTTCCGAGACCGTTTAATCCGTGAACTAGTAATCACAAACGGACCAGAGTTTAGATCGAAAGGAAATCAAGTAAGCACGTTTAAAGGTATTATATCAAGCAAGGAATAATGTGTTGAGGAATTATCAGTTAGTAAGACCTCCAAGATACGCCTTAATTATTGATTACTTTTTTAATCTAGTCCAGGTTTCAACTCATGCTTTACAATTCACTTTTTTGTCTTCCATTTGATATTCTGAAGATCTTAAAAAGAAACGAACAATTGAGGCTCACTCTGTTTATAGTTGAATATAGTAATTTGGCTGGTATTTTGTTTGGTACGTTTCTTCAATTAATTACTTATTTAATATTTTTAGAACTTTTTTCTTGTGCGATTGATTTCTGTTGTTTTATTAACAGCCTCATATAATCATCTCTTAGCAGGGAAATATCATGTTAAGGAAATTCATGCATTTCTAAACTTGTTTTACAACTTCGCTACAGAGAAGACCACCGCCACTTTTAATGGCTAGTAAATTTGAATCAAATTTTTATTACTAATAAATAAGATTTCAAAAAAATGAGAATTTAAAAGGACAATATTTATTTACAACCTCAATAAGAGCAGTTATATAATGCATTTTCAGAAACAATACATATTGGTGAGGGAGAATACAGTAACAGAAAGAGCATTTCATGTAAGAAATTGTTGTAGATTAATCTTACAACTACGAAAATGAAAATACATGTTAAGTTCGCACTCATTAGAATAATGAATGATTTACAACAATATTTAATTAAAGGTAGTGCCTCAAAGAGAAGCAAGTAAAGAAGAATTCATTAAAAGAGTTGCTAGTTTTAGATATACTTAGATAAGATGTTAAAGAATATCCATAGAAAGTTTTGGTTCTATTCCAAAAAGAGGATTGAAGCTTTTAAGCAGAAAGCACTGGTAAATATACATCATTCTTAATTCAGATCCTAATATCTAAAAGAATTATAAATTATAAAAAAATATTCGTATTGTACTCATTGAAAGTTCAATAAATAAAAAATAAACATTGAACTGCAAATTATTATCATAGGGGATACGAATACAAAGTAAAAATTTTAATGAAAAAAAATTATATTCTTAGGGATAATTAAAAACTTACATCGATCAAGTGCAGAATTTTGTTTATTATATATATATATATATATATATATATATATAAATATAGAGTATAGTAAATTGATATTAGGAAGGAGAGGGCGCGAAATTAGATTTAAACTAAGTCATGATTGAGGTGTCAAATAATGCAATCTACAACATCTTTTCTTATCAATTTCTAAATAATACCTATTCAGGTATGAGTTTAATTTAAAGTTTATTATCAATTCAAAGTTCGTTATTTTAACAATATTCTGCTTAGTTTGAATGAATATACCTATCGAATATTGAATATTCACTATTCAAAAACATTGTGCTGCAAAGTCATGAAATTATCAAAAGCATGTACCAGTACGGTTGCATTTCACCGATTATTTATAGCCTAAATGAAAGCCGCTACTCTATATATATCAATAGCGAGTCATACTTGAATATTTCTCGTTGTAAATACACTGAAAATTGGCTGAGCGTAAATATTCATTCATTCCTTTGTGTTTAGTCCTCAACTTTGGTCTTTTATGAAAGTATGATATATTGTCAATTTAAAGAATTTGAAACAGGTAACTAAGTTTCGATGAAATTAATCTGGATTGTAATGCAAATGACCAATGAAATGTTTTGACTCGAACGTAATTAGTTTAATGAATGTAGAGAACCACAGTAAAACAAAAAAAAAACACTGATGTTTTAAAGGTAAATAGAATCTTCGATGCACTTGGTTGGTTTTAACGTAGCTACACAAATTAAATTTTCCAAAGATTTTAACTGGTTTTTTAATCTGGACTAACTAATCCTTTATCGGCCCCATGTGTAACAGTAATAAACGCTGTTCCCAACAGCCTAAGAATATATATGTTCAGAATCCACAGATACACGATGAAGTGACCATGTTAAGAAGTCAATGGGTTTAGGATAAACAATATTAATCCAAATTCTCAACAGTTTTAAGTATAAAAGTGCCTATCATTGAATCAATCAACAGTAATACTAGTTATTTAAAATGAACAGATTTTTAATGAATTATGTTTTGGCAAGAATATACATCAGGAGTAAGTATTATTATTTTAATTTTGCTTTCATATTCAATGTATGATGACATAAAAAGGTTTTCTTACGAATCCTGAGAGATTTAAGATTTAAATATTAGGTATCCTCGACAAAGCTATTCATTAGGTAGCTTTCTGTAGATAAAAGTTCCTGAGTTCTGAACAAAAAAGCTAAAAGTATTTAACTTAATCTACATTATTCAAACTAAAGTTATATCAAACTCTTTCCAATGTTTACTTGAAAGAAAAACAAAGAAAAATTTAGAAATGATCCAAAGGAACAATGTATTGAATCGTAGACAGAGTTAGATAAACATGCGAGTGTGAGTCTAGCTTTCTGGAGGATGAGAGAAGTGTTCAATATGAGGTGTGCTGGGACAGGATCAAAATGCTTATTCGTTTGCTTCCAAATTTTATGTTCAATAAAATTAATGATGTAAACATTAGGTTGTTTATTTTGAGGATACTTTTTTTATCGTTGCAAGCCCATTGGATTCTAATCAACAAAAGTTTATAGAGTATTAAAGTTTTTTCAAATGACAAGTGTTTTGGCGATTTAACTAAATCAATAAGTGTTTATGATTTAAAAAAATGAGAAGCTAGAGAATTATCTAGACATTTTTATTCCTTATCGGATTTGTTATTCTATTTCGATTTTCTTTGTTAAATCTTTTTCACATTGAGGTAAACGCTCATGAACTTACTTGGCAGATAGAACCGAGAAACTGCTGTTGAACTTTGTTCACGTTATAAACTATTTTGTTTAAAATTCATTTCGACGTAATACATTAGATGAACTAGTCAAATAATTAGTTGTAAGTGCAAGAAACCAAACTGCTAATGATTTACGATATTTTCGACGAATCTGTTTCTGTGGTATACTACCTAAATGAATTTGTAAATTCCACCATGCATCTGAAATAATTCTCCATAATAAAGATGGAAGATTCGCTGCACATATAATGATCGGTAAAGTTAACCAGAATGTTGGACTTCTGCATAATTTGATATAACTACGAAAATTGATGTTGTCAAGTGTTGTAGTACACTAAATAGAAAAAAAAAATTTAATATTTAAATTCTAAATGTTAATAAAGTTTCACGAGTGTAAATAATGTGAAATAAAATATTTTAATTTGATTCTAAATTCGACAATATAGTAATGGATTAGAATTGGTAATATTAATCCGCCAAGTATTATTTACTATTTAATCCAGTGAAAGATTTAGATTGACGTATATTGAAAACAGTGAATATTTCATTTATATTTAAATTTTACTTTGATGTTATGTTATTGCTTGAATAAGTAAGAGATATTCGGTTTGTGCGATTCACAGTAAAACATATTAAAATGTTAACCGAAACAATTAGATGAGTAATGATTCAGTCATTCTTCAAATCTAATTGAAATTGAAAATCAAAGTGAAATTAATAAAGTGTGATATGATTGAAGTATTTATCAATTACACAAGAAGTACCTAACATTCACTTTCATTGAGATAACCACAACATTTATGTATCGTGTTGGGGATGTTAGATCCCGAAAACTCGCTTGATAAATGCCTTATTTTGGATTTCACGTTTGCCATGATGGGCTGATCAGTTGACCTTGAGATCACATTTCCCACCAGGAAATTCCTTGGCTGTGATTGGCTGCTGTGTATTTTAGTGTGCTATTTTCGTGACTGTCCCAAGGACGTTTCTATGATGTATAAATAAACGAGAGTTGTGTGTTTGATTGTATTGTGATTGCTGGGTGTTTGTAGAATATACTTCCTACGCTTACAAAGCCTTCTATCTTCAGCTTGGGATTCAAGGTAGCCTTTTTGGACGCTGGTAATTGTCTCGTTCGCGTTTATCGACCATGGTGAACTCGTTATAGCTTCAAGCGTACCTAGTGACGAGCCCTACATATCGTTTTGAGCCAAATCTTCCAAGTTTGTCAGCTTTATACACGGTACACTATCTTGAACCATAATAAATTCTTAGAACTAGAGTTATTGACTAAAGAAATAGTTTATATTATAAGCGTTAAAACGGATTGTTTTGTTTTTCAAGTTGTTAGAATTGTAATTTATAGAATTACATACTGATCAATGATAAGTTTAAAAAAGGTTAATGATCATTTTTTGAATGACCTTTGGTTCGGTGAATTGTATTTACTGACTTAAAAACTCTCATTTCTATTACGTTGGTATTATCCTCAAAATCAATATTGTTATTATTTGAACTTTTACAAACTTTTGCCTTTTATCCACGAATATCTGTTTGAATTATGTATTTAAAAGTGTCATAGTCAGTAGCTCCCATTAATATATCTCTTCTTAAGACAGTGTTATGCTCATCACTTGATAATGCTTGAAACTATTACGGGTTCACCTTAGTCGATAAACGAGAACAAGACAATAGACCAGTGACGCGTTATGCTACTATAATCGGTTGACCCAAAAGAACTAACGAAGAAGTCTTGATATAGCGTAGAAAGTATATTCTACAAACACTCATCAAGCACAATGATCTCAAGCACACAAATCGCGTTTATTTACACATCATAGAAACGTCCTTGGGAGAGTCACAAGAATAGAACACTAAAATAACACAGCAACCAATCACAGCCAAGCATTTTCCTAGTGGGAAATGTGATCTCAAGGTTAACTTATCAACCCATGAATAAAATCCAAAAATAAGACATTTATCAAGCGAGTTCTGATGATCTAACGTCCCCAACAGACATCAAAGTCACTTTTATTTAAAAAAGATTCTATTATGTATCCACTTTTCACTACTGTAAAAGTCTTACTCAAATGAAATTACATTTTATTCAGTAATCTAATAGTTATATTAAATCTGTTATATTAAATATACATATATTCTTCATATGTATGCGAATTTAAACATAATTGAAGTAAGAATAATAATAATAATAAATGCTTCAATTGTTTTATAAATTCATTTTTAACTATTGAAAAAAATCAATATACTTTACTTACTTGTAATGCAATTAATATTGCTATATTCACGATTAGAGTAGTTAAGAATCCTCCTAATACTATAACAGTACAATCATGTGTTGCAAGGAAAGTACGTAAACAGACTGAAAACCATATCAACACATAAGTTGCACATCCATACAAACTCATATCGAATAGTTGTTGTATATTTCCATGTGAATCATAAAATGTACTTTCAGAGAATTGATTCCCACCAGTAAGAATATAAGTAGTACCATAAAATATGATAATACCATGCCATACTCCATCTAATACCCATAGCCAAATATACCATGATCTCAAGTTTGCTTGATGTTTAAGCTACTGGCAGAATTGTTTTTGGGATTAAAAATAGAAAAAGAAAACTGATATGTACAACTGTTTTTGATGAGATCAACTAATTGAATATTTCGTAATATTGAGGTGCTTAGTTAAATGCGTGCTGCTACTTAAGGGTACGTTACCGTATTTTCCATGTACTTAATAAAAGATCAGTAAATTGTACAGTAGCTTGCTCAGGATTACATCATGAATGAAATATATGTAGTAAAGGTTGAGGATGTAAGTACTTGACTTATGATATTTTCGAATTACTGGTCAGCAATGGTGCACTTATTAAGCTACTCACTGAGAAAATAGGAAAAGGGTGACAAACAGATTTGTCAAGTGAATTGAGTAGGCTGTGATCCTTATCGACTAGGAAAAATGGGACGCTTGTTATGAACACTTTTTCATCACCTAGCATGACACGCAGCACCAGTTAGCTTTGAAGTAAGTTCTAGTTGTTGATCTTTAGTCTTAGCTATGGTGAGAGATGGATTACCATCCTTTTTAGGACCAGTGAAGTAATTGCCATCAAACAGCTATTAGAAATGAAGGCAAATTTTGGAGAAGCAAAGGTAAAGGATAAATGTTCAATTGTTCGTGTTTTCATTTTATGCTACAGTATGGTTGGAAACTTTAGATAACAGCTCAAAATCTGTCTCAGTGACACAGATAAACCCTTTCTTTATCTTTCTCTGAGTCATTCATTTTCTCATTCTCAATCAAATTAGTATTTTGACTTCTTTGATTCTCATTTTGTTCATTTTCTTTAGATTTGTTGATATAAAGAGTGATAGCATACATTTCTTTTGACCTCTTTGTTTATCAGTGAATGACAGAATAATTTATTTAACCTGTAAGCTAAACATTACTTAACTATGATGTATCGTATTTGTTGCTGATAAAGCATGGAGAGCATTTCTCCCTTTCCATTCGTTCCCATCAGGTGTTTTGACTAAGTAATGGAGACGCTTCAACCTTAGATTTCCCAGTCATATTAAGAAGATGATAAAATAGTTCCTGACAAGAGGGATTAGATTCTCAAAGAGAAATTAAAAATGTCACTTTTTTCAGTAAAAATAAGCTTGGGAACATATGACAAAGTAGTCAACAAAATAAGAAAGTGGCTAAATGAAAGTTAACAGGGACCTAGGACTCTACAATAACACTAGCTTTTCGGAAAGAGCCAAGTATTTTTTAAATACATACATGTATTAAATCATATATTATTCGTAATAAGAATTTCAGCTTGACCATCTTAAAAGCAAGTTTAATGTTAAGGTTATATCCCAATCAGAATTAACAAACCAATGTTAACTAACCCTTGAAATTTCATCTAGTATTCGAAAACTAATACTGAATTGTAATTTGATAGTAACCTCAATCATGAACTGATATCACCTATAACTTCCTCATAGTTTGAGAATGTCTAAATTTTCTCACTTGCAACCTCATGAAAGAGTAGATACAGAATGTTCATGATGATAAAATAAGGTCAATAAATTCAAATTTCCCTCGCCAAAAATTTGATTTCGTTTTTTTCATACTCTTCATTCAATGTTATAAAAGTGTTATTTCCTTACTTCAAAAGTTTTTGATGTTACATCTTGTGTACAGCTCAACTTAGAACTTGAACACATACAATTCAGATATTAGGCAAAATCAGAACGTGGTACAGCAAAACATTTCAAAACGTATCGAGACAGTAATAATCTAGAACTTTCTAATTCACTTTCATGTTGGTGAAATCGGTTTTTTTATGGAAAAAAAAAATAATTATTAGTTCGACTGTTTAAAAAAATTTTCACAAACCTACCTTTCGATAAAGATATGGATTTTCAATTAATATATTATCAGGTAAATGACGTTCGAACAAGCCAAAAATCATACACATTATCGATGTTACAGTTAAATTGTATATTGAAAATAAAACAGTTTCAAATGTTGCAACAGCTGAGAAACCACTATAAAATGTATACAAAACTTGTGTTGTTACAAATGCAACACATTTATGATAGAATAAATTCATTGTTAAACATAATCGATGATTAGTTCGATGTCCATGCACCAACAGAAGACGTTGTAAATGTCTGTAATGTTTGTAAAAAGTGAATAAAATTAAAAATAAAATTAAAATTGTTATCATTTTTTTCAGTTTGTAAGAGAAGTCGGTAATTTATTTGATAATTAGTTTAATTTAGTAGGTGTCGTCTACCTTGAATGTTTATCTAAAAGAATCAAATTCAATCTTATTAAAAAATATGTGTTCATTTAATTATTTGGTATAAGTGTTATTGGGAAAAAAAAGTGCATGTTTAAACTATTTTCTAATACTGCTTCGAATGATAACCTGTGCACTGATCTGTTGAATGCCTTTCTAGTGTTTCGTTGCATGGAAATCACTAGTTTTGCAATAGAAATGGAAAATATGTAACATCAAATAAAGGCATCCTAGTTTTTAGGTTGTATAAAATTACATTTACTATGAAACTAGGTTCATACCAAGGTATCAATCTTATAAATCAGTGATAGATTGAATTCAGCACAAAAAACGAACGGATTACAGAGACCGGCTCAGAAGTTCGGAGGTTAAGCGTTCGCGCGCAAGACCGAAAGCCCTGGGTTCGAATCCTGCGAGGTGCAGGAGTCATGGATGCGCACTGCTGATGAGTCCCATACTAGGAGGAGACGGCAGTCTAGTGCCTCCAGGTTTATAATGGTGGTCTAACTTTCATCGATTCATGAGTTAAAATGTGTAACTTAACAATCTTCACAACCCCGTAATGCAGTTATTTTTATAACAAAAATATAGATATTAAAGTATATTCTGTTTTTATTTATCGCCGTGCACTAAGATTGATGAAACCTTTGTGAATCAGTTTTGGCTAATTTTAATGTTCTTCGCTAAAATTCATTTATTTATTTTCAATTTTTATTTGATTAAATAAAATAAGGTATCAGATTTCTTTTTAAAACATAATTTTTAAACACTTTGGTGGTATGTGGCGAGGCTTACTTACTCTTGAATAAAATAGGATTTTTCTAGCTTTATGCTCAAATTTATGAAGCCAAATAAGTTTCATTAATTACACAGGTAAATAAATCTATTTTGTTATTAAGCCAAACAGCCGAATTACTTCAATCATTTTATCAATGTTACTTTTAATTTGTTAAAAATGTTTCTAGAAAAAATTAGAATTTTGGAAATCATAAATTCTTTGTTTTGTTCAAACACAAAGTATCGGATGAGTTTTACAGTATTCGTTGTCTATTCATGCAATCTATTCGTTGCTTACAGTATTAACTCATTCTGTTATATCTTTCAGAGTTTCATGAAAAATAGTAGAGAATTAAATTTAATTCATGAAGATATAAGTTCCACATCCAATCAACTAACTTATAGCTTTAAAAATTAAAAGGTGAATTGTCATTTTTTATGATTATAAACAAATGAAATTTTTTTTGTTTTAATTTTATTGTAGGCTATGATCATTAATGCTCAGTGGAAATATATTTATTGATAAAAATCAAGATCTAAGAAATTAGAAGTAAGACTGTCAGGAATAAACTAAAATGTGACCCAAAAATTTAGTTATACTTGATAGTTAATTCATTGATTTTTCTTTAAATATCATGCATATTATTTCAAAACTGTGGAACAATCAATTGAATAGTATTCACTACCATACATCCAACTACTCGACTACGAAAAAGCATTTAAAAGCATGGAAGGGATGATACTGTGGAGGCTTCTTCGACACTATAGTTTGTCTGAGAAGATAGTCAACATCATAAGGAATTCTTATGATGGATTCAATGGAGGACAGTTCACAGACCGACATAAGACAAGGTTGCTTACACTCACCCTTCCTCATTTTTAAGGTGGTCAGCTGGATAACGAAGACGTCAACATCTGGGGGGGGGAAGCACAGGATATAATGGACAGCTCGGATGCAGCTGAACGATCTAGACTTCCCAAATGATCTAGCTCTCCAATCCAACACTTACAGAAACTGTGGTCATTTGCCAGGTTGATATCTAATCCCCAAATGTATCTTACCTAGTTTGTTTTCATTTAAACCACTAGACACTCATTCGAAAATTTCTAATTTTCTTTAACACTAATCAGCTCTTATTATCTGTCAATCATATAACGTAATCAATATCCACCTACAGAATGAGTTAACTCCATCAGAGCACTCATTAAATTTTTTAAAACTTCAAGGTATTCATGTTAAAAACAAAAAACAGTCACTAATTCATTCCAGTGCCTAAAGAAACAACGTATTCAACATGTGATAGATAAGTATTTGAGCCGTTTCGTTTCATATTCCATCTTGATAAAATAAACAATTAGTGATATCACCATATTACGTGCGGAAAATAAATTATTCAAATTCATAATATGAATATAAACTAAATAATATTTTTGAAATATTACAATATTTATAAAACTACAATTTGAATATTTTGTTAAAAGCTTTAGCATGTTACTAGTGTGTTACTATTAAAACAAAAGGACCATTTATAGTAACAATCAAAATGAATGATATTTTTGGTACAAGTTAAACAAAATTAAAGTTCATGTTGTTATTGAATATCGATTAAAACTAATGGATTCAATGACTGTTTTAAATAATCAAAAGTTAATTAATATATTTTTAGAGCTACTCCATAACCACATAGTGGTTAATTTTATTCTGCTTTAATCGACAAATTTTTGTGTAATAATTAACAATATTATCTTATTGTTCACAAGGAATCTTGTGGAGATTGCTGAATATTATTGAAATCAAGAACCAATCTAAACTAAACATTACGAATCAAAGAGCACTTGACAACTGTTTCGTTCTAGTGTTTGACTTCTCAGTGTCAGATCATATTCAGCAACTCACTACAGGGGATCGAATCCAAGATAACTAGATATGGTGTCAAAAACTTAGCCTCAAGATTACATTCTCAGCAACCAGTGATTCAGACATCCCACTTAAAACAACTTATAGTACTGAACCGGAGACTCCACATTCGATCCTCACTTGTGGGGTACGCACTATCACTGAAGTATCCCATACCAGGAAAAAACAGTTGTCCAGTGCTTCCTGGTTTATGATGCTTTTCTGAACTATGCCGACTCATGATCTCAACAGAAAAAGTATAAAACCAAACTAAATTTTAACCATTCCCGTTAGGTTTAACAAAGATTTGAAAATTTCTAGGCCTATTCTATTTTACAATGGATAAGTTAAATAACTTACCTAAACTGTGGTATAGCATAATCTGAAGCACGTACAGCTTCTTTTCCTTCCTTACCATATATACCTATGCCAATATTAGCTTGTAATAACATGGCAACATCATTGCCACCATCACCTATAGCAGCTGTAATCGGTGGAATACCAAAGTCTGACAAACCTGACCGTACAAGTTGTACAATTGATGCTTTTTGAAGTGGTGTCATACGACAGCATAGCACAGTTGTTAAGTGCAAGCATAAATCTAGAAATTTTCTTCTTAGAGCAGGCTAAAAAAGATGAAAATGAAAATTAATGCATTGAAAATAGAATTTTTTTACTGAAACAATCAATAAATAGTCGAGTTTATACTGTGTATTGTTATTAAGAAGAATCAAATAGGCAACTCAATAGTTTTTTTTTCAAATTGTTAGCTTCATACAATTAAATCACCTGATGTTGTCAATGGTGTGTGTTTATATTTACTTATGAATTAGTTTATATCAACTATTGTCCAGTTTAAAATATTTCAATTCACCCGTTGATCAAATAGGTAAATCACGATTAGTTTAACATAATATTTCAATCAGTTATAAGAAGCACTGGTTGAAACTCATAAACATCATAAACCAAATGTTCGTCAGAATCTTGTCATTTTTATTAGTCCTTGCTTTGTGTTGGTCGTCAATTGATATGCTCGGAACTATTACAAGTTCACTTTAGTCGGTAAACGAGAACGAAGACAAATGATTCATTGACACGATAGGCTGCTCTAATTCGAGCGTTCCAAAGAGGAAGAAGTCTTGACAACATGTAGAAAGTGTATTCTACAAGCACCCGGAAAATATGAGGTTGACAAGCACACAAACCGAGTTTATTTATACATGATAGAAACATCCTTGGGAGAGTCACAAAAATAACACACTAAAATAACACATCGACCAATCACAGTCAAGGATTTTCCGAGTGGGAAATGTTATCTCAAGGTCATCAGATCAGCCCTTGTACGAAAATATAAAATACAAAATTAGGGTCGTTATCAAGTGAGTTCTGGGGATCTAGCGTTCTCAAGAACTAACAAGATATCTATAATTATGTGAACTAATAGTATCTTCGCAGCTTTTTTACATATAAAAGTTGTTTACTTCTTGATCGATCATGATATTGGATGTTGCGTAAATTGTTAAACGCTTTTGTTTGTTATTACGTAATCAGATTTATTCACATTAAGTATAGTTCATATTGTCTACTGACTAAACTTACTGGCTCATAGGCGACTACTAGAATATATTTAAATAAATTTGAGGATTTTTTTTTATTTTGTTAAGTACAAGCAATTCCATTATCCGCATTGATTCTAAGTTGATTAAAAGGCATGAACTCAAAGAACACTGGCTTAAATCTGTAATATAGAACTACTGGAAATATAGCTATTTAATATACATTCAAAATTATAGTAATAATGAACTAGAGCTCATAAAAAATTTGAATATGAATCCAGCATTAAGAATATTGTAGATGATGAGCAAGGATTTAAAGATGTCATACTGTTGTCCGTAATAACTTTCTAATCGAGGATTCAAAACCCAGTCAAATCAGAAGTCAGGAATGAAGGGGTTTGAAGATATTGTGGAAACTAGTTGGCGCGTTGAGAAGCATGTGATATCAGTTAACTAGTTACTGTTAAAGATGCGTAGAAAGGTTAATACAGTTGTGATTTGGGTCAGATGCTTGTCTGAGAGCCTTCAGCTAGGATGGTTCCCAGTAAAACTACAGAAGTCAGCATAAATATCAAAGTGTTTATTTAGAAAAACTTATATGTGAGTCAATAATCTTTTACCAAAACGACCAGTAATAACTAGATTTCAAGGATTGAATATGGATATTCTTAATGAGCCAATATTAAAAAACATTTTTTTGTAACAATCTTGGCGATCACGAAATTCTCTCATAACACTATGAGAACTGGTTTATGAAACAAGAGCCTTATATGTAATTTAGGTTTATTTTAAATAAGGAACAGGTTTTACAATATATGAAAAACAACGGATGTGTTATAGGATCCAGTTGATAGGAACTCAATCTGTTTCAGACAAAAATTATATTTGAAAACAATGACAATCAGTCAAATTTTGAGTAAAAGAAATGTATTCTAAAATCTATAAAATCTAATCTTCCCTTATTTTTGTAATTCAGTAACTTAACTTACTTTGAAACAATGCATAAAACACTTTAGTTTCCCTTATGACTAAAATATTTTATAACTTAAAATAAAAACAATCGTAATATCGTGAAGCTATTTACTCAAATACTCAGCATTCTGTCACGAGTAGCATAGCGCCTGATCAGAGTAATCTAAAAATTTTAGTTAATAGGTCATTTGTTGTCCTGTTCGATTTTCATGAAACACATTCTGATGTCCTTAATGATGCACTGGCAATATAAACAGATGCTCAACGACAAAGACAGGTGAGATAATTATTTTACAAACGGTAAAAACAGCTTTTCTTATTGAACTACTTTTTCTACAATGTATTTATCTCATATTCGCTTCAGAACTCTCATTCTGTCAATGCAAACTTGATCTCGCTTATGGAATTTTTAGTTGAGTAGAATAAAAAATTTCTTCAAAACTCAGTTAAAGTTGTTTGAATAGATTGAAATCAGTCTTACATAAATAGACAGTCAACTCGTTACAGGTTTTCACTGAATTGCTAAGCTCCGAAATGCAAATATTTTGCTGAAGCCTCTGTTTTCTGCATTGATATATGAGTGGCTATGGAATAATTTTATAAAAATTAAAAACACCTGTTCATGATATTTAATTAACTCCATCCATATTTCCACTAATAACTAAACTCATTTGTTCTTTAATACAACTAAGCTTAATCTTATAGGAACTAATTTTTAACTATTTGTGAAGCAATGGCTTGGTGGTTACAGTGTTCAATTTCCACCCAATAGATTCTAGACCTCAACGCGGAATCACCTATTTTGGTGCAAACAACCAGGTAGTATTATTATCCTTCACATTTGGAACGTGACTCATTCTCATGCAGTGGTTTAATAGTTTTATACTTCCTGTAACATCTAAAAGTCCTTGTCTCAGATTTATATGTGATTGTAGTTACACAAACCTCAGTTCTCCAGCAGATGCCACATCAATACGAAAATTATCTTAAAACTATTTGTATATCAGGCTTTTATTCTCTAGTACTACTATTACTTCCAGAGTATACTTAATTCACATATTCACATATTCAAACAAAACTTTGATCAAAATGTTACATTGATAATTAGATTCTTTGCGATAAGAAATAACTACCCACAAGGAAAATAATTCTAGATGACCTTTTTTAAAACTAATAACCACTACTCTGATTTAATTGATTTGTATTAACTATGTTAACATTGTGCATATTAAATTATTAAAATAATGTCTTGAGTAGATGTTTGGTATGTATTTCAAAAAAAATTAATTCTCTATTCACAATTGAATTAGTAATATTCTGCATGACATTATAACATTGCTATTTTATTCATACATAGTCATATGAATAATGACTACTTTGTATATATATATATATACACATTGATTTACTACAAATACAGAGTCATAATGAAAAATATATATAAATAAATAATTAGAAACTTAAATATTTAACTGAAATTCATGGTCATTATGTCTCAGTGGTTTTCATTTAAATTTGTTCATTTAAAAAAAAATCTTAAATTATTATAAAATGGAACAATCCGATGTTTAGAGATTACAAAATTTCTTATTTCTTCTGGTATCAGCAATTGAAAATATTTACCAAGTTTTAGTTTATTTTTCATCCAGATCATTTGAGATGCAATTCTTTCGAAATTTAAAGGAATAAAAATATTTCATTGTTGCACTGTTTATTATATGTTCAACAATCAAGTGAATAGTCGAAATCTACCGAAAACAAAGAGTGTTGCAATCGAACCACTCTGGTTTTTCTCTTTTCAGTGAATTTATTCAAAATAACTTTTAGTTATTACCGTATAATTATTATTTCTCTAGTGATAATGATCTTATATTAGTCTCATTACCGTACGACACCAGAGTTTAACTACGTGAATCTATGATATTGCTCTGCAGTTAAATATGATTAACTATCTTTTATTCTGAAAATGATTGAACAAAATCATGTTCCTGTTGAAATTCTATTTTAACTATTAGTCCATACAATTACCTCCATCAGTATGAAGGGTCGAATTAGCTTGGAAACCTTTTTACATGATGTAAATAATAGCTTTACTTATTTACGATAAACTAGGTGGTCAGAGATTATATTATATGAAGTTAATTCGGTTAAGAAAGAATAACCAGTCAAATCACTGCAGCTATTTTAACATATCGTTTCGAAAAATAACCACTTTGTTAAAAATAACTTGCTTCTATGATAAGGATTGATTTGCATATGATACCGTCCGTAGCAGTAAGAAGTAGTTCCTATTTATTCAGCTCTATTTTGAGCAGTATCTTAGGAAACAAGTACATTTTATGGAAAACAATGCAAGCTACCGGCGATAGTAAGCCAATGATGAACAATTTACCTTAATCATAAAGCAATGAGAAAGTGGGTGTTTACTACATCTACGGATTAATTTTGATTTGTTTTGGAATGATGAAAATCCAACCAACTTTGAGAATTTTCGATAATGATTTATGAGATTTATTAATTTGACCTATTCATTTCATTTAAATAAATAACTGTTGACAAAAATAAAAATAGATTATATCCAATTAAATCACAAAACGACATACTTCGACAACATTGTCAGGGCCCAGCCATCAACTACAATATCCTGTGTAGCTGTCAGAAATACGAGTATGAAAAATGCTATTGTTAAACGTATAAGGCTGACTGGATGATGTGATCCTAATTGACTCCATGTTTTGTTAGGATCGCGTCCAAACCAGTCGTTGATACAACCTGATAGTACAAGCAGTTCAATTCCGATTGCATACTGAATTATTATGAGCCAAGTTTTCCTTCTTCCAATAAACTTTATATAAAGTGAATCAACTAGTGGAGCCCATAGAAGCTTCAACGCATAAGGCCAAGCTGAGATTGATAATGTCGCCTGTAAATTATAGCCACCCACACGGTAATTCGATTGAAGAAGAGGTGGGATCGACAATGAAATTCCAATAATGATACCCTATTAAAATATTTTGTTCGATAAGTGATTAGAAATCTTGAGATTGGCACTAAAAATTATCAATTGACTTAAATTTCTCGAATGAAAAAATATGAACCTGTTAGGAATAGAACTGTAAATTTTTATCTGTGCCTCGAAAATCGAAATCATGTTTTTCCAACAAATAAGGATATTTATGCTCAGTACATTATCATGGCAGCTACATTTTCTGGCTTCAACTTAGGCTTTGCTTGCTGACTGTCACATCTTAAAAACTGTTTCGCCTGAAAGTATTTGATTTGCAGTGAGAGATTTGTGATTACGCCAAAATGTAAAAAGAATTTCTAAGTAATTAGCTGCATATGCCTGAAAATGTTCGAGATTATCAGCCCCTCAGAATAGAGCTTTTGATCTTCCTTTCACAGCAGATACTACTTAGGTTTTAGACATTGCTGTATGTACGTTAGTTTGTCAGTCATCTACAACGTAGAACTTAGTACGTACCTACATCAGTTCAAGTCGCCATACCACATTAGCACACAGAGATCGAATGGTCAATTCAATTCTCAGATTAATCGACATAGTAGAGGTATTAGCGGTAATGGAGAAGATCACGGCTCAGAGATATTGTTCAAGAAACATAATTCACTGAAATAGATTTAAAAAGAGAAAGACCGGAAGACTAGAATTTAAGAGAAGACAATCAATGGATGCACCTGCATTACATTTGTCTCGTGGACCTCAACCAGGTGGTCTACTCCTACTAATATGGCTCAGTCCAGTTGTCAGCGACTTTATGGATTTGTGTCATATTTTGGTCTAGCCGACCCTAGCTTTCTTCCAGCCTACGCCTACATCAAACAACACCACTCGTCAAAGCAGTCAGTAGTTAAGCATGTGTAACATATGTCTCACCCCCCTCAACTGACAAAGATTCACATATTATGAAATAATAGTAACCTACGCCTATTCTCTAATGTTACTGGCCATGTTTCAAAGCCATTAAGTAGGACGGAGCGAACTGCTGGTGCAAGCTCAACTCCTGAAAACTTAGACAATGAAAGTGTCCTCTCTAAGAGCATGACTATAACAAAGTTGAATAAGAATGGAGAAACTGGACAACCTTGACGAACACCACTTGAAGTAATGAATTCCGATGACAGTCCGTCATAAGCTCTCACTCGGCTAGTAGTGATTGAGTGAAGAGCTTGTATAAGGTCAATACGCTTCTCTGGTACTCCTCTTCGTGATAAACGCTAGCATAGAACCTCACGATCAACAGAACCAAACGCCACCTCATAATCGATTATTACAACTATTACGGGACGTCAAAACGAGTGTCTCTGTTCTATGACCAGACAAAGTGTGAATATATGGTCTAACAAGCCACGTCCAAGCCTGAATCCACTGTGGTTTTTGCGATTCTGCTCCTCAAGAGCCCGAATTAAGCCTTGAAGTGTTTCTGAAGCTAATATTTTGGACACTACATTGATGAAATCGATTCCTCTGTGATTGTCACAAGAGGAATAAGTTTAACGTTTTTATTTTAAGGCTATCAAATATTGAAAACTTTTTTTAAAAGTTGGAAAATTAGTATTTTTAAAACGTCACACAGTAAAACTAGTAATCTTTCAAAAGATAAACTGATGTAATCGAATTATTAAATCAAAGGTGTCATGAAGAAACTGTTCAGAAAATTGAGTTTGCGAACAACTCAGAAGTTTTTCATGTCTAGTAATGTAGTCCAAACCTGAAGACAATTTCCCACGAATATGAGATACTGAAATAAACGCTAAAAGGTATAGAATCTTGAGGCCAGACAGATGACAATGGTTGTTAATGGAATTTAAGATTCCTGAAGTGATGAACACAATACACTACGGAAAGCTATATGTACAACACTAATAATAATTGTCCAGATTTTTCAGTTAAGCCGAGCTTCATGTTAAATAAACTAATCAAATCTATATGAGAAAAACAGAATCTCAACTATTTAATCACAGATGACAAAGTGCATTATAATAACATTCACCTTCAGTTCTTTTGATTTGACATAACAATGAAATGACCGGAAAAATTGACTTGGAGCACTCAACAATTTTGCTCACTCTCAATTAATCTAAATAAACCACCTTCCTAATCATTAAGAGGATTACAGAAATCTCAGCCTCATGAAGTTGTTCATTATGCATATAGCTATCACCTATTAAATCATAATCAGTAGTTAAATAATGCAAGAGGACCAGGAGCTGCGGAAAGAAATAAAAAAATTTTCAAATTTCGGAGTAGATCTTTCAGTAATATCCGTGTAGATACAAGAGAAGGTGCTTAAGCTGATACGTGAAACAGCTGAAATGTCGAAATCGAAACGCCAAAAGTGGGAAAACACATACACCGTTCTTAATTGAACAGTTTAGCATTTTCTGAATATGAAGTGAATACTATCTTAGCATGGATATCGAATATAATAAAGTGCATGCAACCATTGTTTTGACTAACCTGAAAAATATATAATACTAATAACAATAAAATTGCAAGAATATCTTGAGATGAATAATTAAGCCTGCAGAGCTTATGGAATCTAGATGACAACATCCTAGGTGATGCGGAGTATTCGGTATGACACGATAAAGAATTAAAGCAGCTTCAAACGCGCCCGCTGTTTCAGTTCTTGAAACGACCTTGAACAGTCCAAATAACAGCGAACCGAAAAGGAGAAGAAGGGCGAAAATTGGGGAAACGTTTTCTAATAGCCAAGGTCTCCATAAATCTCAAAATTCGTCCTTCAACATTTCTATACAATGTTTTGAAGGCTGTCTTGATGTCAATCATATGCCTTGTCCCAAATGTGTTTTGCGATCGATGAGTATGGTTATCTATTTCCCACGCTAATCGGCTCATCTGAAGTTAACTGATTTTCAAGCCACTTAGGTACATGTTCCATAATCCTTGATTGAAAAGTCCGATTACTCCTACCTATGTATGTGTCCACACAAACATGAAAATTGATAAATGCAATCGTATGTGATGCAATCATTCGAGCAACGTTTAAGTCTGTGTGAAATCATGGGCTTAGTCTCTTCAGTAATAATCAGTTCAGCAGCGTCGTATGTTTTCTGTATGACTACTTTTAGTTTCTTTCTTAAGATTAGACCATTTGCTTCGCCTCTAAATGGTAAAGTGATATAAACCTTTTTCTTCTCAGAAGAATCAAAAACTTGCTTTGGTCGTATCTGATTTCTACATCTATTGATGAACTTTAACGGATAGCCCTTTGAAATCAATGCTTCAGTTAAGAGTTTTGCATCACTTTCAAATGTATCCATGGTGCGAATCCTTTGTGCCCTATTGAAGAGGCATTTTACCAAACCTTGCTTATATTTCAGTGGACAAAAACTGCTGAAATTTAGGTCTGTCCAGTCCACATTGGCTTTCTATAAACAGACCGCTTTATAGTTCCATTATCTCTTCGGCTCAACAATATGTCTAAAAAAGGCAATCGATTATTATTTTTTGTTTCATGAGTTAGTAAAATGTCATTCTGAAGACTATTAAAGTTTTCCAGTAACTGAGAGACGTTAAGTTCTTTATCACATACAATTAAAATATCATCCATATATCTCCTATACAGAGTAAGCTTATTAATGTGTTCATTCCACAAATTTTCAGCATATGCCATGTAAACATCAGCTAAGAGAGGTCCCAAAGGACCATCCATAGCAACGCCATCAACCTGCTGGAAACGTTCATCATCAAACGTGAAATGAACTTTCTCAGTACATAATAAAATTAATTCTCTTAGTAGACTTGACTGAATGGAAAAAAGGGGGAAATTACTTAATATATAGTCACAAAGAAAGTTAACAGTTTTCATTAGGGGAACATTGGTAAAACAGGAGTTTACATCAAAATAATGCATAGTCTTTTCTTTAATATTAATGCCATCAAGAACACCAATTAGTTTAAATGTATCTTTCAGGGGAAACTTACACAATTTATTACGAATTGGGCTAAGTAATTTAGCTAACCATTTGGCTAGCTTATGCGTAGGTGAGCCACACATAGAAAATATCGGTCTCAGTGGATTGTTCGGTTTATGAATTTTGGGTAATCCATATAAGTTCGTAGCACAGAACCGGTGGGTTTTAACATATTAAATTCAACTTTATTGATAACATTCATGTTGAGTAGCTTTGTTAGATTGGAGTTAACTCTCGATTCTAATTTTTTAACCTGATTATTAGATGAAACATTAGTCAAAAACTTTCTTTCATCACTAAGGATGGATAACATTTTCTTCTTGTAATCACATTTATTCATTACCACTGCTCCAGATCCTCTGTCAGGTTTGAGAACTACAATATCTGATCTTTTACGGAGGTCTCTTAAGGCACAGAAATGTTTGAATGTTAAAATATTCATGTGTCTTATTTTGGTACCATGAAATTGGTGAGCGATTTCAAATAATTTCGCCTTCAACCAGTTTTGATTATCTTGAGTGGTTGGGACAGATCGTTCAATTGAGTAAAGAGATTTTCAAACTGAGCGTCAATCGAGACGTTAAAAGTTTTGACATCAGGTATGGAAAAGTTAAATCCGAGAGACAGAGCTTCTTTTTCATATACAGAAAGTTGAACGGATGATAAATTTGTTACATACTTATCCGGGTTAAACTGTAAGGAACTTGTAAGGGACTTGTCCAACTTTTGCCTCGTAGTATATTTCGTTTTAGAGACCACCGAACTGCAAAAGTTCATAAATTTAATATGACATACGATAGAAACATTTGATAATACATATGACGCACGTGTTCGAAGTTCAATCAGCTTACATATCATTTCAATACATTTTTCCACGTGAGATTTTGTGAGACGAGGGAGATTAGAAATATTCTGAATTAATTTATTAGATCGTAAGAATTTTAAATTGTCTGGGAAATATTTGTGTAGTAAGGCACGATTTGTAAAAGTCCAGCTTTACCTTTTCAGAAGCGATTTTGCATTTAACAGTAGCAAGTTCATCTAACCTTTTATTCATCTTCATATAAAATGCCTTGACAAGTAAATATGTGTGACCAGATTGTTCGAAATGTACAGCGCAAATACATCACATTTTTCAGATCAATTACGTCTTCTCACTGTTCTATCAAGAGTAAGATTTATTAAATAACATTGACTATTATATTGTTGATTCTCTGTCATCTGTTTTCATCAAGCACTAATTTTCAAGTCATACAATAAATGCCTGAGTAAGCATATTACAAGTTATCTTGGTAGATTAGAGACCCCAACTTTAATTTGAAACATGAGTCTAAAGGGTATCAAATTTATGGATGCTACTGAGTAATCTCCTCGTCAGTCAAATACAGTCTAGAGAGAAGAGATGGTCTCCTATATTCGAACTGTCAGATATAATATAAAAAATGGCTTTTTGACTCTTCTGAGGAGGTACGGACAACGACCAAATAAGTTATTGCAAATTTCGAGGCCAGGATTTCCTGAGCTGATGATCAAGTATTTGTATGGTAGTAAATCGCGAATACTTTGGTTAAGGTTAAATGCGCTTCGACAATCCTCAGAATGATCACTGACGAGTTTGTTGAAGTTCACTTCAAAAACGTTAGTGCCGATAAGGCTGCGTGTAGTCTTGTTCCATATTTCCGAACATTCAGCTGAGGTGAAGGATATACCTTTGGATGAATGATCGAGATCCACATCACTGGACTGTTTATTGTGAATAGACTCACAATTTGTGAGCTGCTTTATAGTGTATCTGTTTGCAGGCTTGCTGAGTGTTTAGGATAAGTCAAACTTCCTAATGGATCCTTGTAGCGAATATCTGTTTCGGATTATTTTTAGGATGCCGCGAATGGTTTAGAGTCACTCAATTCTTGGTTGGTTGCATTTATCTCTGTTAGTGATATAGGTGTTGATGGAAAGTAATGTCCTCTTTAGTGGTAAGTTTAGATATTTTTTCAAATGTTGTTGGCGTCAGGCGAAATTTAGCTCCTTTTAGATGGCTGCAAAATAGTTTAAAATCTAATTGTGAGTAGGGTTTATGCTGAAAGGACAATGTCAGTTTAGACAGAACAACGTTGTCCAACACTTGGGATTATTTCCACTAAGCTACAGGAGAATCACAGGTGATCTGAATATGGCGTACAACATATTAAACACGCCAAACCATCTCAATGTGAGCATCTTACCGATGCATCACCACCACTTCCCTCGAGCCAATCCTCGAAAGATTGCACATCAAAGAGTGAATGCTCAGATTCGTGCACACTTTTTCTCATTGTGAGTCGTCGCAACTCGGAATGCTCTCCCAGCCGAGGTAACCACAGCCCCCTCAGTAGACAGCATTAATAAGAGACTTGATAATCACGGATCATCTTCTCCCTCTTGGACAAGCTGTTCATGATACATATCTTGAGACCTACTAGTTGTTATCATTTCCATCTCCTCAGATCACTCAATTAATCTATCTAGCCTATTATCTCTGTTTCCTCTCCTTTGCTTACACTTCTATCCTCTCTCGCAATCTTCACTACCAATTAACAAACTAAATTCATCTCTATATTACTCAGTTCTGAAATCTTATTCAGATTATCATTATAATTTTATCATTATTATCCTTATTACTCTCCACATTGCAACTAACTGATCTCCGGTTTGGTAATGTGGCGGCTGCTGGTATCCAGAAAACCTACTGCCATGAAAGAAACGTTATCATCCAAACCACGAGACATACAAACTCACAACCAACTGCCAACTGACTAGAATTAGATAGTCGAGTGGCTAGACCTCCATCCATTGGACATTACCGAACACCTGGAACCGTACCGAGAGAAAAAGAATCGAGCGCGAAGCAATCAAATTGGTTTGCACCAGCTCGTGAGGAAGATATTGGATATTGGATATTGGAGTAACCTTGAGGTCCGGTAGGGCTTTCAACCCATCGCGTCATCAGTTTGTAACATGTGTTCACGGAGTTCCTAATGGATTTCTTATCATAAAATACCTGTAGTATGGGTAGTGAACAAAGAATTAAAATACGTAACCATGCATCATATTTGGTTTTGTGAATACTGTTCCTCAGCTGAAGGAAATGAAAGTAGAAAGTATTTCCCAACCCAGAAGGACTTCGTTAACCATATACGAACATACCATTTAGTTCGCAAGTTTAGAAACGATTTGGAAACGTTTATCTGTCGGTTAGTTCAGTGGAATGATTATGGTTGCTAATTTTATGTCCAGTCAATATTTTTTTCCCCACATCTGCTATTTAGCGTGTTCATACTGCGGAAAAGTATGCATTTTAGTTTTAATTTAGGATAAAAGGCGACATATACGCAAGTTTAAAAGTGGTAATATTGATACACTTCTCTTAGCGGGGTTTTACAAAAAAGTTCCACTATATACCTCGAGCTGGGGCGAAAGATAGAAATTCAATGCGTTGTTTTTTGTATCAATACTTACTTAACTGAATAGTTTTTCCCGATTTTCGCCTTTAGTTCCTCTATTTTTTTCTCCTGGATCGACCTGAATTCGTGTATAAAACTTGGGAGAAGCGATGGATTATTAGGTGCATACCACGGCATGAAAATCCTCGTGATCATTGTTATAATATCTGGTAAGCTTTCTGGCCCGCCATCTCTCACAAGCGACTTCGAAAATATGAAGTGAGACATATTGTTAAAAAGTCAATCACTGTCAGTGTTACTAGGTTTCAATAATGGGCAATTACGTCTCTCAAGATACGGATCGTTATGTAGTTCTGTTCTAACTTCACTGGAATTCTGAAAGTTTAGTTTATTGTCGCAGTTATTATAACAAACACGTCTAGATACCCAATTCGCAAAAATATCTTAAGTTATCCTAGACCTACATGGTCGTATTATAGAGAATTGCTGACTGTGACTACTCGATATGTAGTACAAGTCGCGCGAATAACTGTGCAAAGATGGGAGATGCAGTGAGTGATTTAAGAGGTTAAAAAACGTCGATTAATGGACCGAGTCAGTGAGATAGCTCAGTATATATGTGTTGTTTTAATTTTCGAAACATTTTTGTCTAATTTGCTTAGATGCAAAATATATAAGGTCAGCGATGTGAGAATTAAATAAACATCTAACTTGTACTTCCATCTAAAGAATGTAGGTTTATGTTGTTGCAAATTTACACAGTTACTAAGATACAATGTAAATAATTTTGATATATTTTCAATACTATAAACTTCATGACAATTTTGTACATGGCTGTGGTTTCGCAACGTTGCAAGACGTTTTCAAACCCTTGGGCACGTAGATGAACTTAGAATTGCTAAACAACTGGACTACATTTCTATTAATTACATAACTGTCAGAATGTACCCATAAGCAACTTATAACTTGTTACAGTTGTACAATAGCTCAAGTTTCCGATAACTATTTACGTTAACTAAATTCGCTTCGTCTCGGGTTCCCGTTTAGTCACTTATCCAGTTTTCATCAACAGTTTCGTAGGGTGATAACGTGTAAATAAATGTGGCTTAATTTTGTGCTGTCACTAGCTACAACGTAGATCTTCATACGTACCTACATCAGTTCAAATCGTCACACTACATTAACATAGATCGAACTGTCAATTCAGTCTCACACTAGAAGAGGTAGTGGCAGTATTAGCGGTAGTCGAAAAGATTTGGGACCAAAGACAGGATTTCACAAATATAATCCAGTGAAAACAAATGCTTGAAGGATTCGAAGGACTAGAATTTGAAAGAAGACAAAAAATGGATGCACCTATCGGTTACAACTGTCTCGTGGATCCCGACCAGGCAGTCTACTAATATGGCTCAGTCCACTTGTCAGTGACTTCATGGATTTGTGCCATGTCTTGGTCTTTAGGATTTTAAAAACCCTTAAGACTGTGTTTATAAAGCATACGTAGCTTATTATTGAAAAGCTTGTTGAACTTTTCCCATACAGTTGCACTCTACTTCCTCTTAATTTTTTCCTGACCGCATTGGCCCCATTTGCCAAACCTCAGCACGACCATATAAGACTAATAAGCGAAGCAAAAAAGTAACCAAAATAATGTGGTAGTCGTAGTGGTGAGGAAATGATTCAATTGAAGTATAGAAATGCAGCTACTCCATCGTGGTTGACTCTCTCGACCGTAACTGCTACCTTGACCTGGTGGTCAGGCCTGCCGATTGTGATGAACCAACCGCGCTATATTGGCTGGAACATATGTTCCTTTAAGTCCTACCATGCCAGCTAGTTCGACTGCAGAACGGTAAGACAACGCAACAACTTAAGGTCTGAGGGTGAAGTCATACTGCTGACTGTAGAGGGGTGTGACAGCAGTAAGATGTTTCCCTTGTACAACCAGCATCTGCAGCGATGCTGCTTTCTCACATGGAAGAACAAGGTTAGAAAAGGTCGATCCTGAAAATGTCACATCTCACCTTACCTCACATATTTCCGTCTCCAGCGGCAAGGCTATTTAAAGAGCGGAACTAACATGTTTAAGGCCCCCTCATAGAAAGGCCATGTGCGACCGGCCTCAATCAGCCATACTAGTCGCAGTAGATTACCTGGTTTGGGTCCATGAGACAACTGCAACCGATAGTTATGGACTCCAAGTGACATGGGTGAAAATCGTTTGCAATGATGCAGGTGCACCCATTCATTATCTTCTCTTAAGTTCTAGTCTTCTGGTCTTTCTCTTTTTAGATTTATTTCCGTGAATTATACTTCTTGAATAATATCTTCGAACCCTAATCTTCCCCATTACCGCTAATACTTCCACTTTCTCATCCACTATGGGATTTGAACTGACTGCGTCTTTGTGCTGATGCGGTATGGCAACCTGAACCTATAGACGTACGTATGAAGTTCTACGTTGTAACTGACTGACTGTATCCAAAGATTGCTATTCATTCAGAAAGCAGTTCATTTTCAAGCAGAAGTTGGTGACTGGATTTCATAGATTGTGCTCTTCACTTCATGTCTATTAAACTCAGTCGATGGCCTTAATAACAGTTTTTAACAAATTAGTATACAATCACAAAGTAATCTCTATGTTCTGTATCTACAAGAGTCGCTGTACTAATGCAGCTGTTTATAAAAGTTGTGGGTCAGATATTCTTTTTCACATATTGCTGGCAACTTTTACATGAATTCTAAATATTGGATTGCAAAACCAGTGTCGTTGATAAAAACAGTGAGTCCAAGAATAGTATGACGATTATTTATGTAACACTCTAAGATTTCTTCAGGCACCAATGCAATGGAATTGCTAAGGCTTCTAAAATAAGTGAAGTGGTTGATGCACTCAACTATGTACTCCTTCTCAGTAATTTGTGTGTTACCTCAAACCAGTTATCAAGCAACAATTTGCATACTGCTTGTTAAATACTAACTGATTTCCATCCAGTATGCCTTTCCGTAATTACAAACAAGCTTACTTTGGACTAAATCACAGTGCTGTCTTGTTTCTGTTTTTCGCCTTAATTTTGATCGTTACCTTATCACTTTATCGTATCTGAAAGTTCCAACTTGTCTGGGTCATCCTAAATCCTTAAGTGGTCACTTTATTAAGTTTTCCGTAAGCTATTGTCAAATCAGAAAACACTATCTTTACGTAACGTGATAGATTTCCTGTCTATTTGTAAGTACTATAGGTGAGACAATACTCAACCGCTCATTTGGAACGTATTTTGCTTGAATAATATATCGAGAGGTTTTCAAAAAGTAAACAAATCACCAACAGAGCCTTTATTGTGTTTATCGTTTGAAGACTTATAAAACTCACTATCCGTTCAAAATGCTTGGATATTTCAGTTTGTATGACATGTATGCAAATACACATGATGTAGAGAGTTCGCTGAAAGAATACTCAACAATAAATGATATCCTTATAAAAGTGTTTTATGACTCTCTGTTTGTGGATGGAATTTCTGTCTGCCCGTTTGAGTTCTACTAGTAATCCAATTTCAATTGTTAATTTGTTTTTTATGATTGTTGCAGATATGGCCCAAATAATTTGTGTCTTCTATCTAATAGTTTGGATGGCGTTGAAAACAATTATTCGTCTCATGATTCCCCCTTATTCACAAGTCAGCGTGACTATGAAAGACATTTAGTGGGGTTTCATCTCCTAAAACACCCTGTATACAAACATCCGGATATAAAATCTCCGTTGTCAATACCTCCTTCTCACTGTAACGGTAAATTTGTTTCACGAGCTTTAGATATTATTTTAAAGTTTTTAATTCATCTCTCTCTTTTTCTATTCTCAAAACTCCCCTCCTTAGGTTTACCATTAAGCTTAACTAGAAAGTTCGTAATTAAGAACAACACAGTACGCTTAAAATGAATATTGTTCATTGGCAAACATTTAACATACAACTTTTATTCTTGAGTTTATCTAAATTATTCTAATTCTATTTTGTACAATCTAGAGATGATTATTTTTGTGCTCACAGAAAATACTGCAATTATTAGTTTTTAGTGAAATTGCTCGTTTTTTTCTGGACTGTAGCTGCTACCTTGACGTGGTGGTCGGGCCTTGTCACTGCCTTCTCAGAAGGAAGGAAGGGATTGGAAAAGGTGGACTCTGAAAATGTCACACTTCACCTTACCACACGGATTTCCGTCTCCGGCGGTAAGGCTATTTGAACAGTGGAGCTGACATGTTCAAGTCCTCCCACAGAAAGGCCGTGCGTGATTGATCTCAAGCAGTTGTCCCTTGGGCTCGGTGGTCATTCTCCCAGATCGCTAAGACCACCACTCAGTCAATCAATAGCAACGTAGAACTTCGTACGTACGTAAAACAGTTCATGTTGCCATTCCAACACTAATCCAACTTCTCTTTCAGATTCCTCAAAAATCACTATTCCGCGTGTGGGCAACCGGAAAGCGACATCCTCCCTCCTATCCTTAAGAGCTCAGGATACCAAACTAGTCACCATCAAACCCTTCCTATACCTCTTAATAACACTCTTATCTCCATTACCAAACCTTCTCACATTCCCCTATGACCTGGCGCCACTGTTACAAACGATTTGAGTACACAAAACTTTATCCCTGGTCTCCTAAAACCACGCCCTAAGCTACATGTTGGAGCTTTCAATGTTCGAACCTTGTTCCAATTAGGACAACAAGCTTTCTGAGCTAGGATTCTGCGACCTCGTGCCACCAATGTATGCCACGTCTCCGGAACGCACCTGCAGGATCTTAGTAGTGTTATTGATTTAACCTCACCATGTCAAAATAAAGAAACAGCTCGATTCACGCTTAGTGTATCTGGAATCCCCACTCTACTTCTGATTGCCTTACTGGTATAGGTATAGCATTCAGTTCTAAAGCAGAAATAGCTCTCTTAGACTGGATTCCAGTCGACAGTCGCTTGTGCACTGTCCGACTAAACGGAACAGCAATGATTCGGAAAGATAGGGACACTCGCCATTGCCTCTCTTTCGTCTCTGCCTACGCTCTCACTGAGTGCAGCTGAAGATAAGATAAAAGACGAATGTTACAGGAAGTTTTCCAACCTCCTCCAAAAGGTTAGGCCCTTTGATGTATTAATAGTGGCGTGTGATAGACTAAAAGAAAAACAAAACCAGCTGGGTGGTTCTTATGGTGTCGCGACTCAAAGAACATATAATGACTACCGTTTACTGCATCTGTGCTGAGATAACCGCCTATTTCTAGCAAATACTAACTTTATGCAGAAAAAACATCTTTTGACATGGTGACCCCCATGTCGTCCAAGCGTTGGAAGCAACTAAGTAACATCGCTTTCATCCGCCAATGGGGAGGCTCAATAGAAGACTAGAACACATGTATAGATTCAAATCATGCTCTAGAACGGAAGCGTATTTGTCAGCATCTTTCTAGGCATAGTAAAGCACTGCAAGGAAGCCTCTCGTGGTCCTACTTAGTGATAACTAATCTAATAATGTATTTCAGGATCAGCTCGAAAACCAGTTAGGCAGCCACGTAAGTGGTGCACATACTGAGGTCCCTTGGAACGATATCCAGAAAGTTTTGGAAACAGCAGTAATATCTGCTAGTAAGGTAAACCATGCGGTTAGGAGGAGGTAGTGGGTCTCAGTAGCATCTACCGAACCGATAAATACCCAGAAACTCATCCTAACTGTCTGTGAACATGAAGGAAAGCGGAATCAGCTTAAACACAGGCTGATAAAAAGCTTAAGCGGTGATCATGAACAGCAGTAGTTAATGAAAGCAAGAGAGATGGAAAAGGTAGCGGCGATAGGTAGCAGTAGACAACTATTGAGACTTATCAAGCAAACTAGTATTAGAAATCTGACTGTTAGCGAAAAAGGATGGGCTTATTATCCATCTCAATTCAGGAGACTAAATAATATCTTCGAACCCTAATCTTTATATTTAGACTGATGTTACAACCCTTTGCATTTTGAAAACCAAATTTATAGAATATTGTAACGTGAAGAAACTTCGCAACTATCACTGTGGAAATTATTTTTGAATGATTAATATTATAGGTGATTAATGTAATGATAGTTTTACTACTCTAATATGTTATTTTTTTTTTCTGTATCAGAGAAACCATCCCGCAAATGGAGTGTATACCAGTCAGTTGTAAATTTACCAGCTATTTTAAACGATCCAAATTATCGTGAGGTAAATTTTTAAAATTGTTGTTTAAAAATTAGGCTTTGTATTAAGTTTCATTGACTACTCTTTTGGTTTTTTCAGTCTTTTAATTAAATTTCAATTAATTTTTAGTGTATTATCTTCTATTCTGGTTAACCATTAGTTAACAAGATTTCCGCTCTAAAGTAACTGATTGGTATGTTATATTTCACTAAATGTACATCATTTGAAATAATCACAACACAAAAATCTAAGCAAGACATGATATTAATCAGAAAAAGAGTAACTATTGTGTTAAACTACGTTCTAAATGTTTAAATGCTTTTTTTGAAGTAACAACAGTTGGATGCTTTTGGTGTCGTTGAGTCCTCTGATCTAGATGGTTTAATTGATAAACTTTCATTGTCATTCTGAACTATGTCATCAACACCTACTTTACGTAAAAGTGAGCGTCTTATTTATTCCACAAGTGTTGAATCATGTTGTTCTGACAGTCTTGCTTGCTATTGGTTATCTCCTTAGGTTTAATTATCTTTGTTTGTCTGTGTATTTCTGTTAACTGCCGTGTTTCGTTGATCTCCAACCATGTTATTGATTGACTTTTTTTCAGTATGAATTGATAATTCGTATTTGTATTGATGTGTCCGCGAACTTCCGACTGACCTGTATTATTTACTTGTAGAACCTCATAGGTATTCTCAGAATCCTCTCAATCCTGAGTTTGAACGTTTCCAAGGTAAAATTCTCACCTGTGGTTATTTAAGCGGATTGATAGTAGTAATAACATATCGTGCCTTTTCACTGTTATTCTGTGTTTTTATACGCGTAAGTGAAATGAGCATCTACTTCCTCCAGTATGGTATTTCTCATAGTTGATAGAACTCGCTTTATAAGTAATTTTAGATTCGTATTCCAGTCTGAGTAAACTGGAATGAAATAACTGCGTTAGTTTTCAAGCGATATTCGTTCCAACAAGTTACTACAATGTTTGAAATACTGGTGAAGAAAAGATCATCCTTCCATGTATGCAAAATGACTTAGTCCAGAAAACAGAACATATCAGCAATACTTTTTCTTTTTTATGTTCACATCTGGAAGACTACAATCAGCACTGAATTCTTTTCTAAGCTAAATTTGATAACAGTTCATTTCAGTCGATTTCAATGTACCTAATATTTAGGATATGGATTATCATTTATAAACCCATTCAAGGTAGTCAGGAGATGTTAATTCAATCTATTCAATTCACTGTAAATTAATAATCTATCTATTCTTTTCCAACTTCATTATTTGTATTATCTTTTATAAAATAGAAGTTGATTATTTTGTAGTTATTATTACTGTTTTGTGCTGTTCACTACAGCAGTTATTCATGTAAAGTTTACTGATGTTGAAATTTAGTATCAGTAATTATGAATAAGTGTGGAGCTTTTTTTTTAAACCAAATATATATCTTTGTGTTTTTAATTCTCTAAAAGTATTTATTATTCTGAATGCTTAATAGAAATTACGTTTAACAAAAGTTCTTTGTTAACGTTTGAAAACTTTCATTTAAATGTATCATGCTTGTTCATTGAATTTCTCGAGTGAATTTTTCAGTAAGCATTGTATCATGAGACATAAAAATGTTTACTTCACACTGTATACAAGTATTGAAAGATTGTTATTTTCACTGTGCATAAAAAATATATATAAATATTGACATCAGAGCAGTACCTGTAATCCTACTTATCCATTTTTTTTTTTAGCTAAGTTAACATTTCTTACAGTAAATGCTGAGATTTTATTTAAAATTAACCAAGTGGTTACAATTCCAAATGCCAAAATATTTGATAAACTTCCATTCAATCATGAAAAATGATTTTAACCTTTTGTACTGAAAAATAAATCGTACAGTTGTGATCGTGTTTCTTTGTCTTTCTTATGAGATAGACATTTTTAATAGTTGCATTCCTAAATTTATTTACTCGGTTATTAGTTTTTGGTAGTCTATCATTGATATTTGTAAAACACTAGTAATGTTTATTATACTGGTAAGTAATTACTATTTTAATTTGAAGGTGATATTTGTAACAGACTAATTTAATTTGGGATACTATTGAGAATCAAGTCGTACTGGACAGTTGTTTTACCCTTACAGAGAACTCAGCAGTGCATATATAACCAAACTGGGGATGAAACCCAGGACATTCAGGTCACGTAGCGAGTGATTAACTGTCGAACAACTGAGTTTGCATTTAATTGTACAGATCTCCAACTTCAATCAACATAGCTCGATCATCATCCAATCCTATTGATAACTGTTCTTACACTTTTAACATATCACAACTTCTCACTAGAACTTCAGGTACTCACATCAAGATCGATCAGTAGTGAATATGATTATAGTATTATTAAATGAATGAAACATCTCTTCAGTGCCTCATAGTTTTCAATTGCACTTTAATTGAGGTCAATCTATTAAGAGCACTATTTTCCAACCAAATTATCCTTCACAAAACCCATTGTATAATGTTATCATGATTATTTATTCTTAAAACCCTAACTATTCATTTCAATTATGAGCACGGATCACATGATATACATTCTGAATTCTGTAAAATATGTTTTCCACACAATTCACTTGCTTATTAATATCTTATACATATTTCAATTGACGATATAACATGAGCAAAGTGATTTGTGTAAGCTTGTTACGTGTATGTGTATATCATTTTCTTATTGAAGAAAAAAAATCCTATTTCTTTACTTGTCGTTTTATACATAAGTTCAGAGAGATCTAATAAAAATTTCAATGAACAAATAGTTTGTTTTTAATTGAAATCTGATATCAATGAACTTAGGACATAATCTACAGCTATTCGCCCATCAGTGAGATTAAGAGATTCTTTCTCAGTTATTCCTTCTTTGTTTTCTTAATTAGAAACGATTGAGACAATGTATTCGCCGGTGCATTTATTCTTTGTGTTCTTTCAAATCCTAATCTTCTGGACTCCTCAACACCTCTAGTTTTGTCTTTCTAAACTTATCTCACTGAATCATACTTCTTGAATAATATCTTCTAATCCTAACCTCTCCGATTACTTCTAATACCTTTACTACCTCTACTACTATTGGATTTGAATTGACAATTACATCTCTGTGCTGATGTGGTATGGCAACATGAACTGGATGTACTTACGTACAAAGTTCCACGTTGCATCTGACTGACTGAGACAATGTACAAGTTTAATTAACCGTGATTCAGTCAGTTAAGCGAGTGAAAAGAGATTAGCAGCAGTGCAGTTTGAAATCCTACAACGGATGTCAATACTCCTTACTGACAAATGCTAATGTCGAAATTAATTAGTCTAAAAAAATGATATCAATGTTAGTAACTGAGAATGTGTATAAGATTATCTTAAAGTCAGCTGTTTGTTAAAATCTTCAAAATTATTTTTTTTTGAAACTATGCAGTCAAAATACCACTCTTAAAGTCCCATACATTCCTGATGCCTTTGCAACAGAATTTTGTTGTAGTATACTGACACTTGCTAATGATTAGTGTTTAAGTCTAATCATGACCGGATTTCCTTTATTCTTATAACATTAAATATTCATCAATTCCTAAGCTATAATTATCAATTGTACCGGATTATTGTATTCCTTAACTTAACAGTTTAAAGATGATATGCTTACAATGTTATGTTTAAATAACTTTGGTCTGATTCTTGGTTGTTGATATTACATATGGCTGAGTAACCTCGACCTATGGTAAAAATAGCTTTCCAGTGCTTCCTGATTTTCAATAGCTCTCCATTTTTAGTTATTGAGTAATACAAACCGCTTTCAAAATGGTTGTTTATTTTGAAATAAAGTTATGTAATGACTACTATTTCTTTGTTTGACTCAGCTAGTTAATAAATTTGTCAACCACCTAATACATATGCAACGTAGAATCTAGCACATTTATGCATCGGTTCAAGTCGCTACACCACATCAACACAACAAGATGCCGAAGTATTATAAATGATAGTAGAAACGACTTAGTAGTAATAGTGTTTCATTTGATTTACTCATTCTTGCTATTATTGTTGATAACATAATACAACTGTCCGTTCAATGAATAAAAAAAAATTATTTAGCATTGTAAGTTTGAGTACAGCTGTAAACATTCAGATATGAGTTACATAATTTTGAATTCGGTCTATTGATTCAACTCATCTAGTGAAAAAGAGATGTTTAAGGGTTTAGCCTAATGATTAGAAAGCAAATAAACTGACCATTATGACACAATCAAAACAATTATTTTATGATTTATTTGTTCTTGATATACAATTGTACAAAAGGAACATTTTATTAGTGATTTTTTTCGATTATACATAATTTATCAGCTGTTATTATTCTCAATGTTCAATTGTATTTATCATTTTGATTCTATAATTATTAGAAAGATATATTTGCAAAATTATGGGGTGATAAATTTGAAAATGCTGAAGTTCTACCCAGTCCCCATTTACCAGTAATTACAGAGAAACATTTTATAGAATATTTTAACAAAATTGGCGTTCGTAAACTGGATAACAGTCTGGATAAATCATCGCCTAAATGTCAAATTAATTCACCGTCTAATTCATTCAGTGACAATTCTCCTTTAGTGAAATCATCCAAAAAAGGTGTGTGGTTTTTTTTTGTCGTTTGAAATCATAAATGCTTGTGATATACTCATCCGGAAGTTGTTTAGTTACGAATTAATTAATACTAACTCTTGTCTATTGTTAATACTTGTCAAGGAAGTAACGTGTTATTTTATTTTATTTTGCTGAGTCAACTATCGTTCTGTGTATGCTATTATTCTGCAACATGTTTACTGTAGTCCTCTAATCAATATGAATATTGGTATCGAAAGCACAATTATATAACTTTACAATGACCATATGGTTTACTATTGATATTTGAAAAGAATAATTATTGGTGATAGTTGTTCATTTTTATAACGTTTATCACATATGCAAGTAATTTGTTTCTGTTAGGGATGTTAGATCCCCCAAACTCGCTTGATAAATGCCTTATCCTGGATTTCACGTTTGCGAGCATGGGCTGATCAGTTAACCTTGAGATTTCATTTCCCACCAGGAAAATCCATGGCTGTGATTAGCTGCTGTGTATTTTAGTGTGCTATTTTCGTAACTGTCCCAAGGACGTTCCTACGATGTATAAATAGACGAGAGTTGTATGCTTGATTGTATTGTGATTGCTGGGTGTTTGTAGAATATACTTTCTCCGCTTTCAAAGCCTTCTGTCTTCAGCTTGGGATTCAAGGTAGCCTTCTGGACGCTGGTAATTGTCTCGTTCGCGTTTATCGACTAAGGTGGACTCGTAACAGCTTCAAGCGTACCTAGTGACGAACATATCAGTTTCATAAAATGACTTTAATTATAAAGTCATGTAATAGCAAAGTTATTTACATTTAAAAGACTTGGATACGTCAGTGTTTCAGATATCACATATCCATACAAATTATATTTATTACTAGGGCAAGCATATTTGACCGTATTCAGCAATCTTGGTCATCGTGGTGTTTCGAAAAGACCAAATAAATGCAAACATTTTATGACAATCAACGTTTAGAACTATTAGTAAAGAAAATAAAACTTCAACACCTTTGAGTGTTGAGTGAAAAACTAGTTACATTCACAATAGGCTGATAAAATAAAACATTTAACCTGTTAGAAGATTAAACTTTACTGTCGACACATCCGATAAAATTTTTCAAAAGTCAACTTTTTAAATAACTCATAGCCATCGGTTCCGGTGATTGATTCTTTTATAAATGCAAATATCCAAGCTGTCATATACTAAGCATTAATAAAGCTAATGGTTTTAGTAGGTTGGGTGATTTACTTTTCGTGTAAACTTCTTCAGTAGTTAGTGCTGTGTGATCTAATCGTTTCGACTACGGAATGTTATGTGGAAGTGTGCTATAATGTTGGGTTAACTTGTTAAACTTTTCGCATCAGATTTCTTTTATTAAATTCAAAACCTTTTTTGTTCGTGGTTTAGAAAACTATGAATTACAAACTTTTCGAACATGTTTTAACAATTTTCTTTCTTTGTGTTAGTTCTAAACAATGAATTGTCACTTGATACATCAACTACTTCAATTCCCACTTTATACTTTGATCAAAATTTCAATTTGAAAGATGAAAAAACATTTTGTCAAGTTATACCTTTACACCCACGTCAATCTCACTTTCGTAATGTTTCAAATCCATTTGAAAAAATGACTTCATCATCCGATAAAACAGACTCTGTAAATAATTCAAGTCGATCAAACTATCCTAATGAAAAATATCTACAGAAAGAGGCTTTCCGTACTCAACATGATCAATTGGTTAATTATTTAGATATTATCGAGTTGAATATAGCTGAACAGGTAAATAATTTTATTGTTTTGCTAATTTCAGTGTCTGACATACTTTCAAAGCTTTGCTCGTTTATGGTATGACGATTGATTTGGCGATACTCTGTACTAAATAAGGATGGTAAATCGTTGGATAAGGTAGAAAATATTCATCTACTGAGATAGTTAGGACATGCCCATCCACCAACTATCTCGACGAGCGATAATACCTGATGTAACAGTAGTTTCGAAGAAAGTTGAGGTTGGTCAAACCAAAAAATGGTGTAATCCCCTAAAGACGATGGCTGTTGGGTTGAATCACGTATGTAGGTTCAAAGTATTTGGTTGGGGTCCGCATGATTATCGTAATCAGTGTTTGGAGATTTTGGGTAACATGACTCGGAGTCTTTCGAAATGTTTCAGTTGACTTTACTTAATGTCTTCCTTCAATTTCAAAGTTTCCCAATTATGTTAAACATTCTTTTCCACTAACTCATATGAGTCATATCTTCTATCCTTAGTCATTTTTTATTACTATTAATACTGTTACTTGCGTCGGGGCTGTCCAATTTCTCCATTCTTACCCAACTTTGTGCTTGACATGCTTTTAGAGACCA